CTTTGTCGGTTCCACTTTATCAACATAATCTTTATTATTTTAAAATACACAAAAGAGCACCTATTGACGTATTTTTTTGGTACAAATTGTTTATTTATGCAGTCTGTCATTCGAACCCTAATTAAGGCAACACTGTTCGCTTGAAACATCGTTAACGTTTCTTACCGGGACCAGGCGTGCTGCCGTGCCCTTTCTTTTAGTAATCTTTACCTTTGTTCCTTTACGGAATTCATTTTTAGGCCAGTCTTTTTCTGCCGCAACCATCTGTCATATTCTTTGTCATGGACTAGTGGCCGGACATCTGGTTTTTCGCTCTTTGTTTCATAACACTTGACGAATTGCCTTCGCTCTAATTTCTGGCGTTAAAAATCTAACCTGTTTTTTGAAGTTTTCCATCATTAATCTTTTTTTCCCCAGATGGTCAGCCTGATCAGCACCCGTTGGATTTTCTGCCAAATCGCCACCTTGTTCCCAAGTTACTAACACAGTTTGTCAACAATCAGTTGCAGAAACTTCAGATGAGGGTGACGGACATTGCTGCTGATGTGAGTACTTTTTATAATGGACTTATCTCTTTATACTTCTATTGTCTATATACTCTTGTAATCAGTATAATCACATGCCTGCGTGTGAGCTAGAACGAATACGAATGAATGAGTACCAATGGAATTCGGCTTTATTCCGCTTGCAGTTGACGTATCGGAACTAGCATGACATGTACCGAAGCCAAATAAGCCCTCGGGCACTTGTATTAGGTGATTATGATTATACTTTTTAGTTCACTCACCCGAGATTGTTTATACAGCGATGTCTCACAATGAAGGTGAATACGCAGTCACTGGGGCAATAAGTGTATTGCCGTGCGCTTTCAGTCTGGTACAGGGACTGGGGCAGGAAGCCATCATCAAAGACTGAGAGTGTAACAATAAATCGGCAGTTTTTGTAGTCAGACAGAGGAAAGGGGTTAGAGGTAGTGTTCGCAATGAGGCTGACTTCACGGCGTGGGGACACTATTCGTCCATAACTGGGAACTGCTTCGCACATCTTGAACGCATGAGCGTAGCCCGTGGTAGCAGGAGGGTATATCAACGTGTCTGTTTACGGGGTTGGTGTCAGACACCCATGTCTCCAGAAGTCCCCAACCCATCTTATTGCTTGCTCGCGCCATTATCTACTTCCTCGTGGGGCTGAATTTGTGACCTTTCTCAAGAAATATTACACTTAAAGAAAGGGTATATTTAGGTTTTAAAGACGTTTCTAATTATTTGGGGTTTTTAAGCCGTGCAATTTCTATTAATGAAGCAATTTATCTTTTAATTTTTAATGCAATTTGGATAGTATACTATATAGCTCATATTCACTGCAAAGTTCTATGACCCCTATATTCTTCCTGATAACGTATATAAATGTAAGCATATCCTTCCACAGACAGTATGCAACTCCTAGTTTCGAAAATCTTGATGCAGATATAATATCAAGTTAGATTCAGGATGCTTCAGGAATTTGGAATTTTTTTTAAACTGATTAATGCCGTTTTTTAAGCATAAAACTCTAAGAAGATGTACTTTGCTAACAACTGAGCACAAGAAAGAATATACTTGTTTTTGTTTTCTGTAAAATATTTTTAAACTTATAAGAGCTTAGAAAATCAATCAGGACAATGCATGCTACGTCAGTAGTCATGTTGACAGAGGGTTGTTTTTGAAGGTGGACGGAACACAGCTTGATCAAAAACTGACACTCTGGTCGGACTTAAAGATCTTAGATTTGTGCTGCAGGATTTTTAAGCTAAAACTCTATTGAATTATTAGTTTCTAATTAAAAAAGAACATTTATGAATCTCGGTCAGCATTTCTTAAGTCAGCACATCAACGAGGTCTCTCGAAAACTCAACACAGTTCGACTGCCGTACCACTCCGTAAGCTAATACGTTCCCCTTCCGGTTTACCGCAGTAGCGCTGCACCCCGTTTGGGGACCAACCAAGGGCGTGTAAGAAGCACACGAACCAAGTTTACTTGATTTGACAGTCTCCAGACCTGCTTTCACTCAATTTCAGATTATTCCAGGCTAACGCATATGGGGAGCACTGAATGCTTATATTTTTGCTTTTGTTCCCTCTTGTACTCCTGAATCCCACTGATTGAGCCGTCGAGTCGATTGTTTCATTGCGCTTTTACAAGTCGACTTCAAAGATATTGCCGATAATTCCGACTACGACAAGAGCGTTCACAGCGATAATGGTGATAAAACTATTGTTGTTGCCGATGAGGATCATGATGACGATGAAAACGACGACGATGATGATGACGACGAAGACTGTATTACGCGGTTATCCCGTAGTGGCTGATGGTCGTCGGCCCAAATATGTACAAAGCAGTCATGGGAATATGGGATAGGGTTTACGGGTTGATAATGGATAGCTGGTTACGCGGCAGGGGAAGGGGGAATGGAGGGAGAAAGCGCGGACAATTGCAGACAGTTATGCGACCGTTGGCCATGTCAAGCTTGGGACCTGCAGGAGGTTCTTTTGCGCGCACAATACCGGCTTCTTCAACCTGATAGCAGTTGCTTCTGCCCTTGCTAGCAAACGCTAACCCAGGAACTTTGGATAGTTTGGTGGGACCTTACACATCACCTTGACGGCTTCGTCAGGGTTCACACGATGTCCGGAATCAACCATTTGGGCAAGAACGGCGCTGTTTATACTCCTGAATTCACCTTTGCTTAGCCATGCAGGGAGGTGCTTCCGTATGGCTGAGCAAAGGTGAAGTCAGGAGCATAAACAGCACCATTCCCCCATTTGCATGTAATGATTAACGTAATTGCCCGTATGTTTACCTTTTACGCCCTTTCCAAATCAGATTTCGATCTATTCCCACAGACCTTGAATATACTATTTTAAACCGAGAACGGAAATTAATTTCTAAGGGCGTTAAAAAAGCTGACAAAGTATTGATGTTATTGATGAAGACGGCAAAGACAAAGGAGACTGGAGTGGCTATTTCTGGCTTATTAGTCGTTGTCTGCCTTGTATTTGCCGGCAATACTGTCTGCCTATAGTACTAGCTGCTACGGCTGTCAGGGCCTCTGTCGAGACCCTAAGCAGAGCGGGACAGATGAGTTCAGTTAGCGGTAGGGTGAACGTTCATCAACGGATAAAGACGGCGATGATGATGCCGACGAGGAGGAGAACGATGGTGGTTTAGTGTCGGCAAACTGTTGCTTTTAGATCCGAACAATTGTACAGTTAAGGCATGGATGTTTACGTTATCATCCTTGTTCTTTCCATTTTCCACATATTTAGCTCTCAGACGGTGTTATCCTCATTCTGCTCATGGGTCTCCTGGAAGGCTACTTTGTTCCTCTTCACTGCTACCACCCAATGCCTAGCACGGATGCCATGCGGCTGACCAATATTAACCTAGCCTTTGACCTTATACGGGCAGCCGAGCTACCGGAGCCGATGGAGAGGCCTGAGGACATTGCCATGGGCGATTCCAGGGCCATTCTTCGGCTGTTGTACTCCATCTACTCGCGTTACCAGTACGAGGTGGGTGGCCGAAATCCCGTGGACGATTTGCATGAGCTCAAAGAGGAGGGAGCTACCGCTGATGGGCAAGATGAGCCCCCAGAAGCGGGTCTGGGGCCCCACCAGATGGGTCGGACTGACGTCGTCGCAGAGTGCGCCTAGTCCGATTAACTGTACTTGCCCACGGCTGTTCGAAGTGCACAATGTAACTGCCTGTTCTTACTGCCCTTCTCTATCCGCAATCCAATCAAATTATGTCTGCTGCACCGGTTATTGATTTTTTTTCCAGCGCCATTCCCTCTTCTTTGCCTGTTCTCCACCTTCGCTTTCGCATTCCGCTAATTTAACGCACACACACATTCCTGCCCTCAACCTTTGTGTTTGATTAAACCACTTCCATTTTATCCTGGCTTTTTATACAGTCACTGCAGGTAGCCCTGTTTTCAACCGCTGTTGCCTTTCCTTGACAAATTCGAATAAATTTTTTCGCCGTCGCACTGGTCTTTGAACACCCCCAACGATGCCGTAGTTGGAGAGTGAGTGCGGAGCGCTCGCGACCGGAAGCTTATTCATCCAGACTGAAGACCGTGTGGACCTAGTTTTTTGAGCTGTCCGGAGGGTTGTGTTCGAGTATTGGTTTTGGCGAAGAAAAAGACACTGCCACCGGAGCAGGAGCTTTATTGACCTTCGGTTTCGGATTTTCTCTTGAATCCATCCTCAGAGACAGTCACAAAAAAGGTACCATGTGGACTAAGCTGCCCAGTATACATATAGGGCGCGGTCGCCAGGTAACATAAGATTTGACTGGAACAAGAGCTTTATTAGCCTAATGTTTCAGATTCTCACTCTGTTATGATCTTGTGTGTGTATCTGCGTCGCCACTCGTTCTGTCCCCCAGCTGTATTTGTGGGATAGAAAGCAGACAGGATAGCAGAGAACATTAACTG